AAAGGGCTGGAATCCAGCCCTGGAGCCTCCCGGCCCCCCCGCCCGCCAGCTGACCGTGGCCAGCAGGGGACGCTTCCTGAGGAGCCCAGAGCCTGCGGGGCCCGCTCTCCTCTCTGGGTGCCAGGCGGGACCCTGGAGCCATTTGGGGCACGCGTTGCAAGCCTCTGTTTGGCCAGTTCCTGGTGTCTGCAGCTGCAGAGTTTCCTAATCAGGGAGGACCAGGCGAAGCGAAGGAGGCGCTGACCCTGCCTGGATGTTTCGCTAGTGAAGCGCCATTAAGCAGAGAGGCAGCCTGGCCTAGTGGGGAGGGTCCTGGATGGGAAGCTGGGAGGCTGGGCGGTCTAGTCCGGCCTGGGGCATGAGAGTCGGTGGGGGGGGGCAACTTGGGCCGGCCCCCCTCTCTCAGTCCCAGGAAGAAGAAGGCCGGGCAAACCCCTTCTGAACAGTCTTGCAAGAAAACGGCGGGTTTTGACTTGCCCGGCAGTCGCCAGGAGCCAGCTCAAAGGAAACCCTCTGCCCGTGACGGTTAGAAAATGCCAGGAGTCATTTTAGGTGACATATCTGGGATACTGGTTTCCAAACCAGTCTAAGCCCGATATCCAATCCCACCTCCATGGATTTTTTTCAGACGGGCACATGCCCTTGTCTTCTCCTCCATTCCAGTTCTGAACTTTTGCCCCCCCCTTTCCCTGGTATGTTTTCTTGCCCCCCCACTTTCCCCTTTCCCATACCCCACTTTCCCCTCTTGCTCCCCATCCATGGCTCCTGGCCACGGGACAGGCCAGTGGCTTGGATGGGGCCCCCTTGAGCACTGTGGCCATGGGGCTGCGGGAACCTCCAGCCTTCTGACGCCCCCAAACTCCCAGCCTACATCTGGAGAGCATCAGGAAAGGATTGACGAAGCTGAGAGATGTTGCGGCCAGAGGGTCTTGGGCATAATTTATTTATTTGTTTATTAGGCTTTTAATTAGACTTTTAGACGATCGATTCTTGGCACTTTGTCCATCAAAATTACAACAACTGTCAAAGGAATAACAGTAGAATTAACACAATTACACAACGAAACATAAATCAACAATCAATAATGGATAGCCTGAGTTCATACAGTACTCACCTCTGCTTCAGCTGATTCAGATTTAAATTCGATTCGGATTTAAGTTTGAATGGCCAAATGGCCCTCCTGATGCCTCAAGCAATTTTGACAAAGCCCAGCGTTAGTCCGGTTTATACTGACTTTTATATTTAACTACATTCATCAAGGGTGGGAATGTCAAAACTATGTAAATAACTCGATTTAACAAGCACTGACTGGAAAATGCCAAAGAGACCTCTTTGTCCTGCCTTTTTTGAACAGGATGCGATGGCCCCTGCAAGACGGATGGGACTTCCCGCATACTAGCATCTGGCATCTGGCATCGGTGATAATTATAAATATTTTGGTTCCTAGTTGTAAGGCCCCAGAGTCTGTTAGAGGTGGGCACCCTCTAAAATAAAAAGAAAAGATGAAATGAAATGAAATGAAATGAAATGAAATGAAATGAAATGAAATGAAATGAAATAATCAAAGCGGGCATGGTTTATTCTTCATCCATTTATGCAGAATGACTAGAGTGATGACTCAATTGCAATTCTGAAAAATAAACAAAGCTGGTAGTTACTTCTTTTCCACATGGCGGCCACAACAATCCAGTCGAAGCCACCATCTTGACTTTTTTGACCTCCCTCCCTGCAGACACCGCATAAAGCACACTGCAGGCTGACCAAACTCCATAAATAATAACCTCTCCGCTTATTTTCTCTCCACCACTGCGACGTAGGTGTGTGTCTTCCGACCCCTCCTAGAGTGAAGCTGTTGCCCCCAAGACGTTCTCCAGGAAATCTGCAGCCGAAAGGCCACTGGTGGCCAATGGACAAGCGGACAGCTGTCTTCTAACCGCTGGGATGGAGAAGGCAGTCCCCGACAAGGAGACCCAGCCTCTCACGTCCCCGAAGGAGTCTTCAGACTGCAGAGATGGGAGCGACTGCATGGAGAGCAGGAGGCTCTTGGCCAAAGCCACCAAGCCGACACTGGAACTGACGGAAGGGGTCCATAAAGCCCACTCCAGCCAGGGGAACAATGGGCCCACCAGCCCGGTCTCCAATGGGTTTTCTGGGGCCCAGAGCCCACCCGGCCCGGGCAAGGTGGCGGGAGACAGCCAGGGCCTCCCCTCTGCACCCCCCGCTGCCCTGCCTACCACCGCCATCTTGGGTGTGGTAGAACCCCAACAGCCCTTGATGGACCGGCGGGAGAGGGAGACCTGGAGTAAGAAAATGGACTTTCTCCTCTCGGTCATTGGCTACGCGGTAGACCTGGGCAACGTCTGGCGCTTTCCGTACATATGTTACCAAAATGGAGGAGGTGAGTTCCAGTTGTGCTCTAAAGCCACGTTCTTGGGAATGGGGCCGAGCGGGAACGAAACTCGTTCCCCGGTTGAGGAGCCCCAAGATCCAAGCCACGCGTGGTAACGGCAGGCAGGTCCTTCAGGGAGATGCGGTCTGCTGGTGTTCTCGAGAGCATCTTTCCACGCCTTGGGGTCCTCCAGATACTGTATGGTGGAGTTTGGCTGCTCTACTTCCTATGGCCAGCACATCTGGACAGGGGTTGGGGAGGCAAGGAAGTCAAGATGGCAGTGGCGGCTGTGCAAATGAAGCCCTGTCTCTTTTTATGCAACGCACGTCTTGACTTTTTTGCCTCTGCTCCCACCCCATGGCTTCCCCTGCAGTTGGAGAGCACAGAGTGGGAGAGGAGGAGGCTCTTCTGGGTCAATCCGTCCTACCCACTTTTTCATCCCTAGCTATTGTGAAAAGGAGGAAAACCTAATTTACGATCCTCCAAATCAAGCCGGTTTGTGCCTGTTGTATCCATCACACGTTTTCCTTAAAGCAGTGTTTCTCAACCTTGGGAACTTTAAGACGGGTGGACTTCAACTCCCAGAATCC